ACAAGGAAGTGGAGACGAACCAAATAGTATCGGAAAGAACTTTAAAGCTGCATCTAATTTGTTGAATGCACAGGCAAATAACAATTACGAGTAAAATAAATAGCCGACCAGTTTCCACTGTCGTTCTGTCTGAGCGAGAGAAAGTCGAAATTCCCGAACTCTCGTAAGAGATTTGTCGTTGAAATTCATGCCGATACTTGAATGATTGTCCACGTCTTTCTGTCCTTTCCTATGAAGGCAAAAGCCTAACGATGGTTGATAAATCAATGAGAAAAATTGAAGCATGTAAAATGAGACTTGGACCCACTTGACAGTTGCTTATTAAGAAGTAAAGCTCTATTCGATCTTGGGTTTTGTTCTTGACGGTAGTAGGCGATAAAACTTCAAAACTCTGTATTCTTATACGCAGACAGTTATTACTATCTACTACCATCTAATTTGTGTATGATACAAGTATAAAGACTCGAGGTCACAATGGAAAACGCGTACAAACGAATGGATCCCAAGGGAAATTCTCAAAGAATCCACTGTGGCATGAACCCGATACAAGAAGAGATGTCGGCAGACTGTCAGATCTGTTCTTCTTGATCTAATTATTTTCTGTAAATAAGGAATATAATAAAAGATAGGGCAAAACGATAAATGCTTACTCTCGAAACTTAATCTGATGTTATAATATTTGTTTATAATAAAACGAAGAGGAGGAAGGACCAATGATTGTTCTCGAAACGGGTTCTGGTGGTCTCTTAGTTATGGACACGTAACACTGATGAAGAGGAGGGGGAAACTACTCTGAACGTCAGTTTGCACGTTAGCGGCATGGATTATGTGAAGAAGGCTGGCAGTACTTGAATGCGGTTCGTCTCTGAGTGTCTTTGGAGATGTTCTTGTAGTCTATTACTACTTTATTTGTTTTGAACTTTACCTATCGTTATTTTAAAAAAAATAAGTTTTGTAACATTTTACAACGTTAACAACCTATAACTTTCTAAAGGATGGT